TGTGTGTGGGTGGGTGTGTGTGTTGTTATTTTCTAGGCCAGCACTCACTTAGAAAAGAAATGTTAATTTGAGTTCCACTTAGCTGACAACAAAGAAAAAAAGCTTCATATATATGAACTGCAAACTACATTTAAGAGTGCACTTAAAGAAATGACTAATTGAATGAATGACTGAAAGCAAGGAGTACAAAAATAGGGAAACATTAAATAAATTAGCAATTAAATTAACAAATAAAGAACAAATTATGGTCCTAGCTTGGCTTTTACTCTTTGTCGTAATGTACGTGGTTGCTTTAAATCCTACATTTTGGGTAAACGTATCCACAAAATAGCAATAATATGTTATTTCAATTGATTTGAACTCACCACAGGGGCAGCAGGGAGCGAAGGGGAGGGAGGCCTTTTTGGCCTGCTGCTGTGTGAATCGGGAATAGAATTAGCTCCAGGGTTCTTCCAGTCAGTAGGGGATCGACTCTGGTTTGGAGTTCCAGAAACAGGCCTCCCTCTGGGGTCAACTTGACCAATGCTTGGCCTCTCCCTAGATAATACTGTGGTACTTATTGATGTCATTGTTGTAGTTGTAGAAGGTGCACTGGATGTAGCTGCCCTTTTAGTGGTTGGAGATGTTTTGGCTGAGATGGTAATTGTAGTGCTAGTAGTAGGAGTAGTAGTTTTAGTAGTTGTAGCAGTAGTAGTAGTAGTGGGGTTAGGAGTTGTGGGAATAGCTTTGAATAAGATTGTCATACTAGTAGCAGCAGCAGTAGTAGTAAAAGTAGTAGAAGGGCTAGTTGAAGACGTAATAGTGGTAGTGGGAATAGTAGAAGTAATAATAGGAGTTGTGGTAGTAGTAGTAGAGGTAAGAGTAGTTATAGTACTTCTGGTAGTGCTAGATGTTGGAATAATAATGGTAGTTGTAGTAGGCATGATAGAACTTGTAGTCATGGGAGTAATTGTTGTTGTTGTTGTTGCAAGTGTGTCCTCACTAACCGTAGTAGTAGATGTACTTGTACTGCTTTCAGCAGAACTAGCAAAATGGGGGTTCTTGAAAGTAGCTGAAGTAGTTGTGATTTTTGCAGTAGTGGTGGCAGTTGTACTGGGGACTGTGGAGGCAGCAATGGAGGAGGGCGAGAGAGAGGTGGAGGAAAGGGACACATATGGTACAACCAACAATTTCCTCTCCAGATCTTCACTGTGTTTTCTTGGGGGTCTATCAACATGTTTGCCTAAGGCTGTGTGTGTTTTTGTGTGTGTCTGTATGCCTTGTGCATGTGTCCTGGTGTGTGTGTCTGGCACATGTGTCTGTGCGATCGCAATATCAGACTGAGTGGGTGCCAGTGTCGGTGTGTTGAAGAGAGTGGACTCTGCAGTGTCTGGGATGTTGGCTGAGTGAGTCATCATGTCTATATGTGTTTTCGTGTGAGAGGGGGATAATGAGGTGAGAGAGGAGGAAGAGGGAGTCAATGGGGGGGAGGCAGATTTTGAAGTGGAGACACCAGGAGTGTTAGAAACAGGGGGAGACAGATGATTTTGTGCCAAACCACTCCTAATATGGTCACTCTGTGTCAATAAAATAGCTGGAGGTGCTGTTGTTGACGCCAGCAACAACATATCACTTTGGTCTGTGGTAGAGTCAGGTGTTGCAGTTTGTGACCTGGGGTTTATAGGGTCAGGGAGAGGTAGTGGTGGGGTCAAAGGTCGCTCCCTGGGCCTGTTGATGATTCGTCTTCGCTGTCCGATTCTCCTGCGAGAGTTCCAAGGGCTTTGAGGCCGGGAGTTTGGAACCAAATTTGGGAAGAGTCCCTGCTGGGGTTTCTGAGGCCTAATTCTAGATGGGTTGGGGTTTGCTACTCGCTCGTCTCCTTTGGGTGGTTCTGGTACAATTTCATTTATTCCTGAGATTGGCCTAGATGTGACTAGTTCTTTCCATGTCTCTGGTTTTGTCCCTGTCTCTGTCTGTGGACCTGCTTCATCTGTCTGTATGTGTGTATCTGTCTTATTCTCTATCTCGGTCGGTGTTTCTGTTGACCTCACTGTCCCTTTCATTATCTCTGTGTCTGTTTCAGTGTCTATTTCTGTCTCTGTTTGTGTTTGCATTTCAGTGAGAACAGGATGAATGGGTTGTAAGCCTTCTACTTGTAGATCAGCATCATCAATTGATGACCCTTCAGTTTCCTCCCCCTCATGTGTTCCTTCAGCTCCACCTTTGCCTCTTCCCACTGGTTTAACTGTGGGCTTTCCTGGTGCGATGGGCTGGCTGTTATTAGTGTGAGCAGTCTTTTGCCGTATTTTAGCCAGGAGGTCAGCCCATTTCTGAGGGTCTATCCTTTGTTTGTTTGTGGTAACTCTGTGTCTGTTCTCAAAGCGGTTTCTTCTCTGGTTAGTGGATGATACAGGCCCTCCTCCTCTTCTCAAGGGGCCTTCTCTGATAGGCCCACGTCTTCTGGGTTTTCCGATTGGATAACGTCTGCTTGGGGAAGGTTGGAGAGGTCTTAGACGCTTCCTATTGCCAATAATAATTCTCTCTTCTTCTTCCTCTTCATCCCCCGATCCTTCCTCCCCCTGATTTAGTAATGGAGCCCGTATCTTTGTTGATCTACCAGCGGCTGACTGTGGCCCTCTGGGAAATGAAGTCCTAAGTGGCGGGGGATGTCGTGAATTTAATTCTAGCTGCATGGACAGGGAGTCACTACCATACTGGTTCACCACAATACAGCGGTAATGACCAGAATCCCGCTGAGAAGGGTTAGACAGAGAGAGACTCCCATTTGCATGTATATTGAGCCCACCTGATACAGCTAATCCCCGGTGTACTATGTTTCCATCTGGTAACACCCAACTCATATAAGGCACTGGTGAACCAGAGGCCTTGCAGGACAGACTGATGGGCTGTCCAACTGTTCCAGTGACAGGAGGTCCCACTTGCTCTCCTGAAGGTGGAACAGAGGATTCCTCCACTGCCAGGCGCAGGGGGAGAACATCTACATCTTTGCCTGCTCGGGCTACACAGTAGTAGATCCCAGCATCTGAGAGCTGCAATTTCTGTAGAAGTAAACCAGAGGCTGAGGCCCTTAGCTTACCATTTGGGCTGCTGTAGGGGGAGATGAGCATGGATCCATCTGGGAGGATCCACTGTACTGTGGGTTTACCAGAACTTAGAAGAGGGCAGGGTAGCTCCACCTTACTGCCTGCTGCTGCTGCAAGCGCCGTGGTGGTGTGATTTGTTGAAATCAGCACCCATGGGTGAGAGATAGGGGAAGATGTTGAGGGATGAGAGGCAGGGTCAGGATGAGCAGTAACTCTTGTTGAGTATATCAGTTGAACTTTGTGTCCATTAGATTGCGCTCTGTTTAGCTGAATGCTAATGGCTGGCTGTAGCAACCATTGTGGTCTGGCTTTAACAGAAGCTTTGACTCCAGTATGATAATATCCATCTGTCTCTGCTGCCTGCCTGTAGCGGTAGGCCAATGCTGGGGGTTTACTCAGCATAATCTCCCTCTCCAGGCGAACCGCAGTCTCACTGTAGTAAGCAAGGATCCTCCAAAGTTTCTCATAGCTCTGTCTCTCCACAGGGCACTCCAGGGAAAGTGACAGGGCAAGCGGGAGAGGAGAAGAAGAGGAGAGGGAGAGATCTGGTGGAGGAGTAATATCCTGGGACTCAGAAGAGTGAGTGATGTTGCAACTCAGATCAACACTGTTCCCCTGTTGGTCAGACAGACCCAGAGAGGCAGAGCCCAAAGGCTCTCTGAAGGATTCACTTGATTGGATTTCACTGATTTCTGGCTCCAAAGGTGTGTCTCTTTCTGGGGATGGGATGACAGGTGAGGTGCACGATAGGTCAGTCTGCTCAAGCAAGCCCTGTCCTTGAAGGGAACTGGGTGAGCCACAGACTGGACACTGAGGGCCACCGGGACATTTCATTAAACCTAATTGACAAATAGAGACAGAGAAAATGATCTTATCAAAAGCAGCCTTACCATCTCTGGCATATCGACTGTGGTACATCATAGCAACTATACAAACATATTAGTGCACATTTCAGCTATCTGCAATTATTAGTGGTGTCACCTATTAGTCATGCCAGCTCTTCTTAATCATTCATTACCCTTTATATCTCTTACTAATTAGGTATGGTTACTTCATCTACTCATGAATCAGAAATGCGCATCACTTCATTATTACACAGCAATCATTAGCCTATATTTCAGCTGCCTGCACACATCAATGCTGTCATCATGGATTAGTCATGGCAGGTTAAGTCTGGCATATCAATGAGACACATTTCACAGTCCAGCCTTTTTTCACATCTCAATAACAGCCACAAGGCAGACTGGAAGAGATACAGAAAATGGGAAGAAACAGAGAAGAGTGTGTGATGAAAAGCAGGTGGGGAGATGTCAGAGGTATCAAGATAACAAAACCAGATGTATTAGAAAGTACATCTATCCCATCTGTCCATCATCTGGCTGGATCTGACATATATTATAGTTTTTAGACCGCTTATAGATTGAAAGTATCAACAAATGAGTCTTCTGTTTCCTAATCTATTCCCCATGTTCTTTCTCACCTCTCCTGCTTTTATCTGACTGAATTAATCCGGCTCAAAGGCACAACAAATGATCAACTAAAAAAGCATGTTCATGTGGGAGACAAAACAAATAATATCTTAGCCGTAACAGTCACCTGGATGAGCAAGACTCCAAGCGAGAAACCAGCTCATCCTACAGTCACAACTCCATGGATTATCCTGCAGCACAAGAGTCTCCAGCAGGGGCGCTGTCACTAAGGTCTCTCTGGGCAGAGTTGTTAGACTGTTGTTGGACAGGTCTAGGTGTCTACAGGAAAAAGAAAAGATTGAGATGAAGAGGGGGAGGCAGAGGTTGAATCAAAGTCATAGTGGTATGGAGGGATGGATGACATAAGTGGGAGTGGGCAGTGAGAGGTGACAGGTTAGGGGTAAGAAAACCATCCATCATTCTTATCATTTCCATCATCACCTTCATGTTCAGACCCAAGTTATTCCTCTGCAGTGGTAATACAAGTGGATCAGAAAAATGGGTAGAGAGACAATGCTAAAGCTTTAGTGTTTATTTGTAAAAAATACCAACAATTGAAGTGTTTTTCTTTGAGGAGTCAATGAAGTATTACATTTTCACCCTATCTGCTGTGTATTTTTACAGTTCTACCTAAATCTTGCTATGATTAGGTCATAAATCAACTCAATTCAAATGTGTTGTCAAGATTGCACAGATTTTGGATAAAAGCAATGTGCCCACTTTCTTGGAAGTGTGTCCAATAAAACAGTAACATACTTTACAGGCAACAGAAAGTTGACATTCCTTGCTGTCCTCACTATAAGAAGCACCGGCAGGGCCGCAGTATATCTGCTTACTGTTAAAACAAAACTTTCAATATGTCGTAACTTCCCCAACGACAAAAGTGTTAAAGCTCACCTGAGTGAAGAGAAATAATATGTATTCAGGAGGGACAGTGTGCACAGAGTGTGAGGGTGCAGCTGATGCAGCCTGTTCCCTTGCAGACGGAGCAGCCTGAGGCTAGGCAGCTGGAGCAGGGCCCGGGGGTGGATGTGCTGGAGGAGGTTGTGATCCAAGTACAAACGCAGCAGTGAGGTCAGGCCAGAGAAGGTCAGAGATGAAGAGATCTCTCTTAGCTTGTTATAGCTCAGCTTTAATATCTGTGGGGGTGGAGGAAATGGAGTGAGCAGAAGATAAGAAGGACTAGATGAGCAATCAAATAATAGACATCAAGGCTGATGAAGAAACCAAGTCTATGCCATGATCATAAGTCTGTCACTGGACACCACATGCTTGTAAATTGAATTTATGACAAATGATGTGAGGGGAATTGGCATGAGGATGAGGATTTAGGTGAAAAAGACTTTGTAAGCAAAAATGACTGAATGCATGTGTAGATTGAAGAAATATGATGAAATACTTACAACAGCACACCATCGCATGAGTAAGAATTTAGAAAATAGTCCACAGAACATAACCAACTGATATATTCATGCTGTTTATCAGTTCAAAACAGGAAAAACTAAAAGGATATTCTAACACTGGGGGTCTTCAGCTTTTCAAATATGAAATTTAGCGCTTTATCCTAAGGATCTATTGCTATTCCAATCATATGAGGAACCCACCAAATTTTAAGAGGGCACACCATGAAAACCAGGTTGTGGAATTGTGTTTCTGTGAGTCTTATGATAAATCTGTTCTCCAGGGAGGCTACTTAGCTGGAAGAGTTCCAGCTGCTGACAGATCTAGCACGTGAAGATGTCAGCACATGGAAATATGGATCCCATTATCACACAATGGCAAATATATCAGCATCTGCCTGGGAGATGAAGGGAACAATTGCTTGTTGAGTAATATCGCTTCCCCACGGACTGCTAACTCTGCCCTTAGGTTGCTGCTAAAATGTCCAGTGTGTTTCCTGTCACCAAGCAGTGAAAGAATGATGGCACATAAATTATGCATTAGTTGTACAGAAATTAGAAATGTGTTCTGAAAAATGTGAACAGAATCATGTAAACTGTTACATTAATTTGCATTCTGGTTTCACAGATCAAATGTAAAATTATTCCTTTTATAAATCCAGTTATTTTTAACAGTATGACTGCAAGATTTAGAAGCATTTATTAATGAGGCACCCTCTAAATTGTACCAAACCCTTTTGACAAATATAATATATCTTCATAATCCCTGCATTACTTATGATAAAAACTGAAATCTGGAAACAGTTTAAGTATATCCATCTCTCATAGTTATGTAGCTATGCAGACTGTAAACAACTAGTACTACACATGTATAACATTTAAGAGTTGAGCTTTCTGCAACAAAGCAGATTTGAAATAGTGCAGAAGCCTCTATATGGTCCTCCGTGCCTGAGGCTGGAGAGGGATTAAAGTAAAGTTTGTGGAGAGTTGCTGCAGGTTTGATTTTCACATCTGTCTCCTAAAATAAACCTCACCCCCAAAGAGTTAAGGTTAAATATGAAGAAACACTGGTTTATTGTCCCCATTAACAGCCATATGATTTATAATGGATAGTTTGGTTTGGCAAAGGACAATTTCAATGTTGGCTGCCGTTAGCTGCCTGGGAGACAGGTCTGCTGTAGTAAAACATGAAGCAACTTCTGTAGCATCAACTCCACCACCTCAAAATGTGGTAAATGCATCACCTGTCCTACTTAGTAATCATCCACTGGTTTGGTTTTGAATGGAATTCCTTCTCTTTTCATTCCTATACAGTATTAATGGGTTTAATGTGTGTTGCTGTTGCTCTTCTTCCTGTTTACCTGTAGTGATTTCATATCTCTGAACACTGCATCTGGAAGATGGTGGAGGTCATTGCTGTGGAGCATCAGAAGCTCCACCTTCTTTAACCCAGTCAGAGAACTATCATGGATCCCGCTGATGCTGTTGAACCTACAGGAGCACAGAAACAGCATCCTCAACTCAATACATCAAAACTCTATGGGCGTGTTTGTAAAGTAAGTAAAAGCACTTTAGCCTAGAATCTTATTTGTGTATGCGTATGTGCTTACATTCCCTTACCCTAGGTTTATGCGACGTGTGTGTGCAGGCAGCCCAGGAGGTATGGTGAGCAGAGAACGAAAGGTGCAGTGGACTTCGCTGGCCTGGTAGCAGTTACAGCTCCTAGGACAGGCCTGGCCCACAGGCAACTCAAGTGTGAGCACCAGGAGTGTTAGCAGTGCCGCCGGCACACACACACTCTGATACATCTTCGTACCGCAAGTGGAGAAGCTGCACTACGATTATCACTGCCAAAGAGAAAAAAGGAAGTCAAGACTGATGGACAGCAGCAAAGTGCACCAAAGTGACAAGTCCCAAAATCCAGATGGGAGACTCTCTCTCTCTCTTTCTCTTTCTGGCACACACACAAACAAGTCAAGTCAATTTTGGCCAAAAAACAGAAATTTACTCAAGGGGATTTGAAATCTGTGTAACACATGGCACTCTCTATCCTTAGACCCACACTAGAGCCACACTGCCACACTGACACATTGCACCTGTCTCCAAAAAGTAGGCTCACTGAATGACATATCACAGCATAAATCAAAGCGTGCATGAGGGTTCAACAATAAAGACAGAATAAAGCAGAGAAGTAAAATTAGACTCCACATAAAGTCTCATGCCCCCCACCCCTACTTTTCTCTAGCTCTCTCTCTCTCTCTCTCTTATCAAATCTCACACAAGCGCACGAATGCACTTAAATCATTCAAATCCATCAAACCAACTGTAGAGCGATAGCTGCGAGAGGCTTTTCAACTTGAAGCTGAAATTGAAGTAAATTACGCACTGTATCAAGAGGCTTCTGAGAAAAATAGATTATTGTAAGGCACAGTCATGGTTGATAAGAGCATACCTTGAAATCTTTTGGTCCGGAGTTATTTCACGGAATTATTCATTTTGCCCATCAAACTCTGATTTTAATCCAACTTCACGGTTCGGAAATGTGGTATGCAATTAACCAGTTTATTCACCCATAAACTCCGAGATTGTTGAATTGAGAAGAAGATCCCCCCAAAAAAAGCTGTCACATTAGATGTCACTGAAGAGAGCGCGGAAAAAACATGAAAAGTAGTTATACTTTTGTCAACTCCGCACAACAGCAGCAAAATGCTTTTAGTAACATCCAACAGGTTTTCCTCTGCGTCTTCTGGAAAGAAAAGTAGCGCTGGAAGCGGCAGGCGGACTATTTGCAAACGCGTCTGGCGCTGCGTGAATGTGCGTGTGTGTGTGTGGATGGCAGCGCATGTGTGTGAGCGTGTATTTGAGTTTAGGAAAGGGGACTGGACTGGAGTGAACTTTGAGTGACGCTCAGGCAGAGGGGTTTGTCCAAGGAGGGGCTTTCTGGAAACACAGAGGTAACAAGTTACTGGGCTTTCAAGCTGCTTATGCGCTGCATGTAGGCCACAGAAGTGGACATCTTCCTACACCATCTGTCTCAACTGTTGCAAAACTCCTTTTCTAACTTCTCTGCTCACTCTATCTCTATCTATTTTGTGAATCAATTGCGGTAAGGTAGTGTATTTCCGTAAAGAGTTGGCACTTTCTCTTACTTTTAACTTTTTTATTTTAATTTTTTTTTCTCATATTCCGTGGAAGCTGCAGCAGGGCTTTCGCAAGGATTTCTGGAAAACTGAGGTGGAATCTATCCCACAGGCTCCCACCCAGCCCTCCAGGCATCATTTTACCAGCCATATAAAAAGTCAAATGAAGCTTCATGATTATTAGTCATTCATTTAACTTTTACGTAATATATTTCCTGTTCACTTTATGCATTAACGTCCAAAAGCTGTTTCAATCTTCTTTTCCACACTGCCAGGACAAAATTCTATTGGAGAAAATTTTGATATAATTGAATTTAATCATTTCTGTGGGCTTATATATATATTTCTTGATCAAAGATTTTTAGCCTAAAAAACATTCGACTGAACCTCATGTCACCCTCTTCAGTTTGTTAAAACCTCTGAATTCCCAGAAATAACAGAGCGGACATGACCTGTATCATTAATGTTAGCTATATGATTCTATAGGTTGCAGAATGTTATAAAAAAACAAAAAAACAAAAAAAACATAGTTTTAACAAGAAAGTGTGGTGTTTGGAGCTCCAGCTATCTCCATTTGACCCTGTTCAGTTCAAGGAACAGTGGGACAAGGAAGCCCACAAATACTGGACTCCAGTAGTTCCAGATAGTTTAAATGTGGGTTAGGGCAACTAAATAAGGGATTGTCCTCTCTTTCTCAGGCACCCCATAATGATCACACCTCCTTCTGAGAGACTAAGTGAAGGGGGAACAAAAATAGACTGATGCTCCTCAGCTGTTCTCTCCGGTAAGCACAGTAACCCCCACCCACCATCCTTTAAGGGCCTGTCTTTGTATGTATGTGTGCGTAAGTCTGCGACCTCCTCCACATAACACTGGTTTGTTTGCATAGAACATTCCCATTATGTCCCATATACATTATAATCTCAGTTTAAATCTATTCACACATGAGCTGTCCCAGTAAAAGAAGGAAGGTTTTTTTTCCTAATCACCGCAGGGGGCAGCAGTGCTAGAGAGCAACAGCAGCAGATGTGAGAATAGGGTCACCGCTGAATTCTCACATCAGCGGCCTGAATAATGGATTGTAAAATTAATCTTGAATGACTGTTTATCCCCCCAGCCTGGCAGTGAACATCCGTATATATCTTTGAAGATGTCAGTTAATGCTGTACAATCACCAGTAAATTTCTCTCTGATGATTTTCAACACATGACCCAATCTTCACCACCCTGTAACCCTTGTCTCTGCAGGCAATGTTGGTCTGCGAGGGCTTAATAGCTCTCATGCTGCACTGATTCCCTGTAGCTGTGAAAAGCATTAGGCCCAATCCCAATTCACTTCATTACAATAGTCATCATTGTATTGGAATGTATTGGACTATAATAAATGAATCACTGTCTGTCTGACTGGAAGGAACCAAAGACATAATGTAATATCAATGGCTCTTTGGGGGAGGTTTGAATGAACAGTGGTGGAAGAAGTATTCAGATCCTTTACTTGAGTAAAAGTACTTAAACCACACTGTGAAAATACTCCACTGCAAGTAAAAGTCCTGAATTCAAGTATGTAAGTATTAACAGCTAAATGTAAAGTAAGTAACAGTACTCATTCTGTCAGTATTGGGTTGTTTAATCTACAGCAATGCATCATATTGTATACGATCATCATATGTTTGTAGTGTTGCTGCCCTGTGAGAACCAGGTATCTCTAAAAAGTCTAAAAAAATGAATTGAATTAGATTAACAGCCCTGTTTATCAGTAAAAATGGACAGACGAATGTCCTTAAGACAATGAGTGAATGGCTTACTTGCTGACTTACTTTCATTAAACTTAGTCTCACTTAACACTTGTGACTTACTGTACAAATTATAGTCCAATAATAAGCAAAGTTTCAGTCTGACTCTCTATGTCTGCCAACCAGACTCTTCCACTGAGATTTCAAAAAGTACACCGGTCATCAGCGCTCTCTATCTTTTTGTCTCTGGGGTTTGGTGCTATCTAGGTCAGCTAATGGAGTGCTGAGTCATGAATTCAGGAAGTAAACAACTCAGTGCCAAGATGAGACCAGCTTGCTGATACATAATTTCAAATCATGTTTATTATGTATTCTTTTTCATCTAGCTTTGATGTGTGAAAAAAAGTCCTGGCTAAAAAATCATTGCATTCCATTAACTTACGTTTGTCTCCCAGCGTTTGTCTTTGCATTATTGAACTTGGGTGCAATGTGTTTCTTTACTGTTTTGGCTCTTTTCTTTAAGTACAGTACATTTTGTGTCTGTTCTCATTGTGTCAGTAAAGATCAATTAAAAATAGTGGAGGGAGAGGAGGGAAAGGTCAAGGAATTTGTATTAGTTGGACAGAAGTATTACATAATCACTCAGTATAAAACATTGTTGTTATTATAATGCCTTACTTATTTATTTTGGAGTTCACATAGTTTACCTTGCAAAAAATAAAAAAGAGAAAAGAGAAATAATCATTATAAACATCCACACCCCTGTGCACGGTCCCCTCTCTGTCAAGGTCACTCCAAAAAAGTGAAATCAGGAATAGAGGGATCAGAAGGGGCAGGAATCCTTAGAGGAACCAAGACCTTTAATTACGTCCTTCATGACCTCAGGGCTCCAAGCAGGTTGAGGCTGTGGGCTCATAAAGTGCTGGTTAAAGGCAAGAACAGATTGTCCAGCACAGCATTCTTAAATGGTTTTGAATTTGATTACCGCACACTAAACTCTTTTATAGTTATAGTTAGTAAGTTATAGTTGTCATTACGACTAAAACGCATAGCTTGAAGCCTGGCAAAATGGATTCTCGTGATCTCACGAGTCCAGCGGCCTTGCATGGTTAATGTTTAGACACTAAAAGCACTTGGATAAGTTAAGGAAAGATCATTGTGTTTAAAATAATGAACATTTCAAATAATGAATGTTTACTTTATTAACATTTAACCTGAAATCACAATCTTTCTCTACACATCACTTGGCAATAATTACGCTCCCAATTAACGGTTATAAATTCTGATTACATTGCATAAATTAACTTTGGCTAACTCTGTCTCTCACTTCTTCAACGACTTTGAAGGCAAGGTGTTCTCTCAGAGCCGGAGGGCACACTGGGGCAGCCAGACCAGGACCTTGTGGTCTATTATTGATTCGAGGCTCCAGCCCTCCATGGGGTCAAGGCTTGTCTGGCTAAATGAGAGCCTGGAGTTTAACAGCCGAGTGGGTGTCTGTGGCAGAGATCCATGGGCTGATGGTTGGATGGCCACAAGGACTTTTTTTTTACAATGTGCTAGCTTTATTCTCTGTTAGACATTAAGTTATATAGATGGCTAGCTGCATGGGGGGAGGCTTTGTGGTCATAGCCTCATTTTAGCAATTATTCTAAGCAAACAGTCTTACCGCTGCTGTGTTCTGTGATATTCTAAGATAAATCTAAGATGATATTTTTAGGACTATATATAGAGAGAGAACATGATTAAAATGCAAGGCCATGTACAGTACATATGTGTGCATAAAGAACTGCCAGTAATCATAATTCACACAGAATATAGTTTTCATTTGAATGATGGGTACTTTTACTTGTGCAGTGTGCAGTGTTCACATTGCACTGAAGCCATACAAGGACTTGGATCTTTGGTCATTGTCTGGCGGTCACCGTGGACAGACAGAGAATCTGTGATGTGAATGAACAATTATGGGGAAAAACAACAATAGGCTTTGGTTAGAAGGAGAAAAATTGGGGCTCTGATAGCTCACCTGGTAGATCTGGCGCCCCATGTACCAAGGCTGAGCCCTTCCTGCAGCGGCCCAAGGTTCGATCCGACCTGTGGCCCTATGCTGCGTGTCATCCCCTCTCTCAACACCCTTTTCTGTCTGTCTTCAACTGTCTTATCCAATCAAGGGGAAAAGCCCGAAAAAGCAATATTTAAAAAAGGAGGAGAGAAATATGTTATGTAAGGACCTGCTATGTTATATTGTGTTGCATACAGGGCATTGGTCCTATATTGAATAGTGTCATTTTGTAAACAGTCAGAGGTTTGATCCTTACTGTACTGTATAGTAATGCAGTATAGATTGCTGGACAATATATGCTTCACTGAATAAAAGTAGTATGAAGACCATCTATTTTATTAGTAAAAATGTCCAATGCAAATAAGCTTATTTTTAGAATTTGCTGAATCAAATAGCACTGTGTGGATCCTAGTGGAATTCAATAGAATTCGATATACCAGACTAAAGTACTTAAAATTAACATATTTGCTTGCAGTGCTGACTGGAGAAGAAGATGGGTGTGAGGTGAGCATTTACAAAGAAACATCAATCAGTTAAACATCCATTTTAATACAAAAAAACACATGTACCAGCCCAATAAAAGGTGGTTTCGTGTTGTTACCTATAATCCAGGAACTAACGCAATGAAAAGTCCTCTGCTGTAAGTGCTATGCTAGCTGGCTGGGTGGCTTAGCAATTAGAGAGAACATTTTACAACCGGAAGATTAAAGAGAGCAAAAACAAATCCTACAGAAGTGCCATTTAGCTTGAATCTGGATCTCTACCAGGGATTTAGTTTCCTGTAGATCTGTATCTGTAAGAATTATCACTATGGTGTATTTGTCTATGGGAGTTATTTATGTCATCACTAAAGAAAATCTCACACATAGACATCAGAGAAATAGTCATAACTTGAAGCCCCTGAGCT